ACACACACACACACACACACACACACACACACACACACACACACACAGTAGCTAATTCGAAGATATTCAACATTTTCAAGTCAAAATACACAGAAAACAAATTCATCCTAGAAGATTTGTCAGTTAAGGGGGGGGGCATCTCATTTCCTTTCGATGCCTAAAACATAAATCAACTCAAATAGGCAAAAATGGCACGACAAAAATCAAGGCTGGTTTTTCATTGCCTATCTTAAACATCCAAATCCATTTCATTCCATTCATTATCACCCTTGTCTGATGATGCGGTGCTCACATTTAGCATGCGCACATGCTGCGAAATGAATGCAACAAAGTACACACTGGGGGAAAAAAAAAAAAACTACACAAGTGACAACGATGAATAGCATCTTTTGATGCGAGGCTTGCAATTCCCTTCAGCTATACATTACGGCTGCATGATATTGGAAGAAAAAAAAACGTGATATGCTTGTTGAATATAGCGATATCAATATTATTGCAATATTTGACGCGGACTGAAAGAAATTACATTTGTACTAATTTTTAATTTACCAATAGAAGTCTCTCTCCCTCTGTCTCTCTTTTTAAATGGTGATGATGTTTTTTTCCACATGTGCCATTTGATAAGCCCAAGTGGGATAGTCTCCAGCTTTCCTGTGACCCCAATGAGGATACGCGGTACCGAAAATGGATGGACAATTGTTTGGAGGGGGGTGGGTGGGAACACAGGCGCAAACCAAATGAAGCATTTCAAGATAAAACTGACATTAAACATCCCAGGGACTGCGAATCTCTTCTGCATCATTAACTGATTGAAATCCAATTGGCTCCCAGGATCAAAGTACGTGTTGCTTAATTCCATCGGGCCGTGACACTTCAAAGCACACGCGCAAGGATGAGGAGACCCAGACGGTAAAAGAAGCAAAAGTAAGAAAATGTCATGAAAGTCAATGAAGGTGGTGAAGGTGATTGGGCGTCGGTAAAACAGACAATTTAATTTCGAAATAGCTTGATAACAGGACACAACAACAACAACAAAAAAAAAAAAAAGACGGTAGAGAGCGCGTTGTGACGAGTGAGAACGGGCGTTAACAAAAATCCCCCCGTCACTATGAGAAGAGATGGCGATGTGTGAGGGGTGAATTTGTTCCTGCTCGCCAGAAAGCAAAGGAGGCACTGAGTAGTGTCTCGGCCAGGAATGGATGAATCAGCAAAATAACAGTCGACAGAAGAAGAGCAGGAGAAAAATCTCAATGAAGGTTAACGCAACACTGCAGCCTGTCTGAATACAAATCAGATGGACTCAACGCGCACACGCGCTCACGCGCACGCGCACAAATAAACTTGCGTTTTCGCATCAATAGTCTCAATGAAGGTTAACGCAACACTGCAGTCTGTCTGAATACAAATCAGATGGACTCACCGCGCACACGCGCACAAATAAACTTGCGTTTTCGCATCAATATGTTGCTTTTGTACAAGCTACTCTGCATTTATATTGTTTCTGCTGCCCCTGCGTTCTTTTGGGAACTCTGGTTTCCACTGCCAAAAAGTGTGACATTGTTTCCATTTATTTGTCATTTAAGAAAAACAATCAAGCAGCGAACTGATGCAACTTTAAAAAGAATGAAAAAAAAAAATAAAAATACACAACGAAATGCTACAGTGAGAATTGTATTCCTTAGCTGGCAAACGATTGCGCCGCGGGCCAAGCACTTTACACATTGATATAATTTTTCAAATGGTATGCAAAAGAGCATTCTCGTGTAGGACGCTAGAGATATGTAATCCATGTCAAGGAATATTATCCATAGATGGCTTCCTCATCCGGCGTCTGGCTGTCTTTGTTAACCTCTGTTTATGCAGAAGCGGCTGCTGTGCTTGTTCACTCTCCAACTTCACCCTGCTTCAAAATTCATACTTCTCTTTTTCTCCCTGCACTCAATTTCAGGGCTCATTTCAGCCAGCTGCCGTTAAAACGCCGCTCACTACACACTCAGACGCACAAACACACGCACCTACATTCTGGTTAAATTCCGCCAGCGTTTTTCGTCCCCGTAAATCTCCATCACTGTGCGTGACTGAATATCATCACAGAATAGTGTGTGCATGTGCATGCACATGCGCGTGTACATGTATGTGTAGATGAAAGTTAAATAGATGTCAAACTAAAGTTTCCATAGCCGGGAGGTCGTTGGTCTGCGTTTTTTTTTTTTTTTCTAGTTTACGTTCAGCATTGCCTTCTTTTTTAATTTGGAATGAGTGATTTTAGTAACTTTATGACTAAGGTAAAACATTTTAATTTTTCAATTGGAATTATTTTTTTTCAAGCCCCCTCCCCAACGTTCAAAATGAAGAAAAACAAACAAAAGAAATGGACCAGCCATTGTTTTTAACAAATGCATGGAGAGCATTTACAAGGTTGTAGTTATTGTTGCAAAGCATTCTGTCAGTGTATCATTTTTTTTTCCTCCAAAAAAAACAAAAACATACATCTAATGTCACCTCCACTAAGAAAAAAAAAATGTAGTTTGTGCTTGTCTGGAGGCCATGTATCCAGCATGTCTCCCCCCCCCCCCTTTTTTAATTTAGCTAAAATTGCACAGCATTTCCCTGGAACATTGCAACAAATAACGTATGAATCATATCAACAAAATGTTCCGTCTTTGTGCAGGATGTAGTTCTTTATGAAGGCAAGCTATTTAATTTAGCTAGAATTGCACAGCATTTCCCTGGAACATTGCAACAAATAACGTATGAATCATATCAACAAAATGTTCCGTCTTTGTGCAGGATGTAGTTCTTTATGAAGGCAAGCTATTTGGTGCCAATCCAAATTAGGAGTGTTTCGTTTTGGCAGGGGTTTGCGCTGCGCTTCCTGAGTGCCAATCTAGCGAAATACTTTTTCCTCGTCTAAAAGCCGCCTCCGTAAACATTGCAAACATTGCGTCGATCCCTTGAAATGTCCTCCATCGGTACCGACTGCATGATGTTAAAGATGATGTCGAGGTCCCGTTATGTCGCTATGACAACCGAGAACACAATGTGAGGTTATCATGGGCTGTGGAATTCTGGCAGAGTTGGTCCCTTAATGTTCACATAAATCAAAAGTGATTCACAATGTCTCCTCGGCGCTCATTCACCCGTGTATGCTCATATTCGCACACGGCTGGTGTTAGCTCATCATGAACAATTAGGAGCTCACTGCCCGAGTCAAGTAGCCATGACATCCTCTTAAATGCCGTGCGCTGTTCAACATGTATGGGAAAGAATTCCATATGAAATGTTACCGTACTATAACCGATATGTTTATTTGTTCGGCGGTTGGTAAGCTACTTCCTGATTCATGGAGGTTGAACTGTACCCGTTGACTGGAGCAGGGGTGTGTAAACTTTTTCTGTTTGAGAGGCGGCGACAGAAAAATGGGAAGGGCCGCGTTGAAATCCGTCGACTTTTTGAAACACGCTAAAGTCCGTCAAGAAAGCAATTATGTATTGTTTGTGCTGCCGAGTTAATTTCATCGGCTTTGCTTTCTGTGAAAGGCAAATAGTTGAGGACAACATCGTCGCTTTTTCTTTTTTTTTTTTTTTTTCTGTCAGCACATTTCTAAGATTGGGGCTCAGCGTGAAGGACAGGAGTCAGTCAATAACTTTGTCATGCATACACAAACACTCAACATGCGGTCTTCCTTCCCGTGATGAGTGATGGAAGGGAATGAACGCCGGGTGTTTCATCACAAAGGAGATCAATGTTGCAAGTGACAACACACACACACACACACACGCACACACAGCATGGTGACAACACGCTGGTGGAGGCAGTGAGGTACAAACCCCCAACCTCTACCTGATTGATTTTCAAGTACACACAAGCACATGCACGCACACACCATCCAAATGACCTTCTATTTTCTACAATCGATAAAAGCAGGCGTCGTGGAAGAAGCGAAGGTGAATATTTCCCTTCATCCACGCACCTCCATTTGGGGTCTCCTGCAGTACATGAATGATTGGAAAGTAACACTCGAGCGAAGCGGCCTTGTCAGATAAGAAACAAAAAGGGTGATTTGATTCATAGAAGGAGAGGTCAGTTGATGAGGGAAGGATGATTCACCGGAAGATTGAAAACTCGGGTGTCCAAACGACAAAACAAACAATCTTTCGTCGTCAGTTGTTCAGCACGACCCCCAATGTTATTAACTCAGTCTGACTCTCTGGCCGTATCAAACAGGTCTTCTCGAGTGGAATTTCATGACATTTGTCGTTTGCGGGTGCTTTGAAGCCGTTTTGCGGGTGTCGCCGGGTGACCGCTTTCGGCGGATCGAAAAGACACTTCGCAGGCAGTGGGCGTCTTCAGCCCGCAATAACCATTTGGATTGATGTTTTGGAGTCCAGTGTGACACTCAGGTTGATATGGCGCCGTGCAGCGGCACATTTCAAGGTGGGCTTCTTGTAGTCTTTGCAAATAGTTGTACAGTACTTTCACTTCAGTCCTATTTGGACAGTGTCTCACACACGCACGCACACGCACGCGCATGCCAAGTCAGGGAAGCAAGAAGTCTTCATTCTTGCACTGTCAGGCAAACACTTAATATGTATCGCCCTACCTACACGCACTAAAATGAAGACGAGATGGTCTATTGTCACCATGGTAACAGACAGAGAGCCCACGCCCCCCATATATGCCATCCCCCTGCAGACTATACACACACACACACACACACACACACACACACACACACACACACACACACACACACACACACACACTCCTGTTGCAGATTGGAATGTGTACGTGCATGGACTGTGTGTCCATGCATTTAGGGTGACAAAGTAAAAGGATTTCTCTGTGTGTGAGAGATAAAGTGTGTGTGTGTGCGTGCACGCACGCGCCGGGTTTACTCAGGTCAGCCACTAGGAGTGGAATACAAATCTGTCATGGATGACACACTTCCTCATCTTGCTCTCCATTGCGCTCCAACTCGGGCTGCCCTTCGCTTGACCCTCCCTGTTTCTGTCCCTCATTCATTTCTCCTTTTCACACTTCCCTCTCTCTCTTTCCATCCATCTCCTCACCTCTCGTCGTTCCAAAAGCCCCACACGTTTGAGTCAAGCAATTGGGGTTCATTTTCTATGCGCTCCCCGTTTTACCGTTGGTCATTCATCCCGTTCAGCCTGTTCGTCAGACAAACCAGTTTCACAAACCACAGAATGGTCTGCGCATTGGTGCCCTTCACTCCCTTTTCCCGTCCCTGGTGACTTCGGCGCGGTGAAGCGTCTTTTAACTTGGGATAAGTCGTAGTTCAGCTCACTACTTTTACAAAGACCGTTAGCTGGCCCAACGCCGCATTTGAAATCATTTCATTACGGTGGAGCAAGAATATGCCAGCAATAGCACGTCGGAGGATGTGAAGTCAACACTGCGGGTGTTTGCATGCGCTCATAGGTCTGTCGGTCTGTCTCAAGAGTCACTCAAAGGATCAAGTGACCTGCGGTTGTCAAGGGTAACAAGGTGGTACGCTGACATTCACACAAACACACAGAAACACGCTGATTTCTCAAGGGAACGTTGATTGGGCACTGTGCGGACTGCTGGGATGTGCGTTTCCCGTGGCGATAAGAACCAAGCGATAACGACATCCATCTGACCCTCCTCATGTTTCCCTGCATGCGTGTGCGTGTGTGTGTGTGTGTGTGTGTGTGTGTGTGTGTGTGTGTGTGTGTGTGTGTGTGTGTATACGCTTATATGTTGCCATCTGTGTCACTGGCTCAGGGGGGACAGCAAAACACCGGAGAGTTAAGAGATGAAGAAAGGAAGAAAGAACGAAAGAATATAAGACGAATACATGACTATTTATGGCAAAATATTACGCAAGATATAAGGTCACAGATTTGTAAACGTTCATTTGAAGAGACTTTCGGCAGCTGGATTTGACAGCTCTGTCCGATGGGACGATTTGAATTTCGGCTGATGTGACTGATAGTCTGTACTGGTAGTTTATTTATGAATACAAACTAAAAAATGTTTAGCCCCACAATGCATTTGTCTTTTTTGTAACTATGTCTCTGTGATAAAAGGTTCTTCTACCCAAAATAAATGAATAAATAAATCAACAAACATAAAAAGGTGTAAGCAGGCTGACGCACAGTCGGGAAGAAACCCGCAATCAAAATGATTTGGACAAATGGATGAGGAAATCGTTTCAAGCCGGGAATGGGAGGTGACTGATGGTTGAGGCTTGTAAAAACACAGCTATGGTCGTGGTATGCGCACAGTTCCTACCTGGCTCTCGGAGCAGCAGTTGAGCCATGGCCTGTGAGCTGCCGGCAATGTTCTCTGCCACGCACTGATAAAATCCTTCATCCGACTTGACCAAACCGAGAATCTGCAGGTTACTGCCATCCTAAATCACACACACAAAAAAAAAAAACAGACAACAATGTCATGACCCCAAATCAAAAGGAGCTTGTGGACAATTAGCGGGCGATGGCGTCAGCGTGTGTGATGGTCTTGTATGATTGTGGAATTACCAATTATGAGTATAACTAAAATATATTCATTAGGTAGAATACTCTCTTCTCCCCTCACGACAGTCGAATGTCAAGTCCATAAATATCATTTATTTCACATTGGAATGATATGTGACTCCTTCCTTCCGTCCTTCCTTCTTGCGGTAGCTGGTACTGCCTTCGGTGCTTGGTGCTCCTACAATGCCCCCACCCACCCACCCAC